TTAGCGGTTGATCAAATTAGCCTCAAGTTTAGCGTTATTATGTGAATTATCAGTTTCACAACAAGTTATCCTATGACTAAGAAATTAGCTGCAAATTCGACGTAGAATAGAGTAGCAACAAACCTTTATCCCACTAAGTAGGCTCGACTAAATAAATCCTTTCCTCCATTGTGTCCCATTGAGTGTCATATTTTCATTTAATTCTAATAGATTAAGATCATTTTTTATGCAATATGCCCCAGTCTTTTTAGATCTACCTCTCCCTTTATTAACATAAGTCAAATATAAAACATCTACTCTCCTAACCAAATCATCAGATAGTCGAAATTTAATGTGACCATACAATCTAAGATGACTTTAATCTTGACCACCACTAGATCTACACCAACCCTATCACGGATATATTCATTTCACATTTTGTCTCTAAATGTTAAGCTACTTATCCACCTAAGCATTCTCATCTCAACAATACTTAACTTTGCTTTTATGCTTCTCTTTTAAAGGCCAGCATTCTGCACCATAGAGCTTTGCAGGTCTCACCATCATCTTAAAAAGTTTTCTTTTCAATCTAAGCGGTACTTTTTTATGACCCAATAGGCCTCAACCATTCCTGCACTTCAACCAGTCAACTTCAATTCTACTAATAACATCCCATCTATATCACCATCACATTGAAGAATAAACCCGAGATATCGAAAACATTCACACCTTTTAATGATTTGATCACCCATGGTTACAACAATGACACTAAAGCTACTACTAAAATTACATTCCATGTATTTAGTTTTAGATCTACTCAAACGAAGGCCTTTAGAGTCCAACGTAGACCTCCATAATTCAATTTTTTCCTGAACACTTTCTTTAGTCTTATTCACAAGAAGGACATTATCAACGAAAAACATACACCAAGTTACATCCTCCTATAAATGTCCAATAACTGATCACTGATGTAATCCAACTGAGATAAGAAAATACTTGGTCAATCCTCGGTCTGTTCGAACACAAGTAACAACTAAGTAAATATAAGTCATATCAATACCTTTCTTCTCTAGACTCCAAAGAATTTCTCTTGAAACCTTATTGTAAGTTTTTTCTAAATCAACAATAATCATCTCTGAATCCTCTTTATTCTCTATGTACTTCCCCATCATACCTCTCAATAAATGTATAACTTCCATAGTAGACTTGTCCGACATAAACTCAAATTAATTATGAGAAATCTTTGTATCACGTTTTAATCTATGTTCAATTAATCTCTCTCATAACTTTAAAGCATGACACATCATCTTAATTCCTATATGATTTACACACTCGTGTCCCCTTTATTCTTAAAAATGGAAGACAAAATATTCTTCCTCCACTCTTGAGGCATCTTTTTAGTTTTTAAACTAAAATTAAAGAGTTTAGTAGTCAAGAAACTATTGATTTTCTTTAAATCCTTTTCAACTTCTTTTTTACTAATATGACAGTAAAAATAAAATATTTTATTATTAACAATATTAAAATCACTAAAGTAGAAATTATTTTCAAAAACTTATATTAAAAAGCTTATCAAAATAGTTCACCCACCTATGTTGAATATATTCCTCTAGGAAAAATACTTTTTGATTTTCATCTTTAATATACTTTACTTGAATTCTTTGTTCGACTAATTAATACATACAATTTTTACTCTATTTAGGATCTAATCTATTATAAAGATCATAAAAGCAGAATTTTTAGCACCATAAATTGTTCTCTTAGAGTCCATACGGGCCACCTTATATTTTTTCAACTTCACTAAACTTTTACAATTAAACAAATTTTTATAGCACTTCTTATATATTATATTTTCTTGTATTATTATTCCACCATCAATTATGTTTATTTATAAATAAATTTTCTTTTGATTTCGAAGTGCATCTTTTGCCACTTTTTTAAGAGTACTCTTTACTGTATCCTACATAAAATTCACTTATTCAGGAATATCCCAAATTTTAAAATTTTGAAGTTTACTCATAAAGATAATGTTGTTCGTGTCTTTTAAGTGCTTCCATCTAATTCTATGACAATATTTCCTCGTATTCATTATCCTACAACTCTTCATTTTAAAATCCAAAATTAAAAATTGATGTTGAGTACTTAAATTTTACTTGGAATAACCTAACAATCTTTACATTCGAGACGATATTTTTTTCTCACAAGAAAAAAATTAATGTATTTTATTAGAACCATTCTTATTAGAAATAATGTGCTCATCTCTTTTCTTAAATAAAATATTAATAATCACAAAATCATAAGCTAAAATAAAATCTAAAATGGTTTTACATTCTTCATTAACCACTCCAAAGCCGTAGCTACCATGAATATTTCTAAAATCTTCTACCACTCTACCATATCCATTTAAATATCCTCCAATAAAAATTATTTCTTCAAGAGGTATCATTTGTATTAATTCTTTTATGTCATTTTAGATATGTCATTTTAATTCTTTTATGTCATTTTAGAATTTTTCTTTTAAACCTATATCTAAACCTACTTGAGGAGCATAAACACTTATAACAATAAAAATCTTAACAATCTTGAGAGTTATATAATTCTATCTCCAATTATATTAATTTTTAAAAAATTATCTATATATAATTACATCATTTCTAGTGTGACCCTACCTGAATATCAAAGCTTAAAACCTAAGCTATCAATTTTCTTAGCCTTTTCTCCAACACATTTAGTCTCTTGAATACCTATGATATTTATTTTCCTATGAACCAAAATGTCAACTAATTCCATTAATTTACCGGTGAGAGTACCTATATTCCAAGATTCTATCATAATATTAGTTTCATGATCTAATTTCTTTATCTGCATCAGTCTGCAATGTGAATACCCTTGCTTATTTGATACTACCCTTAGACGTTGATATAGTGACCCTTGCATACTTTTCACTATATCCGGGTCATACAATGTGTCGCTTCCAGGAGACTCCCCATCATTTACACAAGAATTTAAAAGAATACCGACGCCATAAATTCTAACGTTACTTATACGGCTGATTGTTTCCTCGAGAAGCATCCTACAACTACTAAAATCTGACGCAAATCAATTGCTAAAAGTAGCAACAAAAATTTTTCAGCCGCAATTTTATTTGTGATAGAGGTTTGAAAGGCAGAATTCTTTCTGATGAATTTCAGATAGTAATCTTTGTTACCAACATAAATTGATGCCATTATCGACTGGTTTTTCATTGGGCAATAGTTGTATTTCCTTTAGTTAATGTTATACGCCCTATTTAGTTGTTTATCACTAAGTTTTAACAATGACAACAAAAAAATATTTCGAAATGCCATTCCAAATGTATTTAAATAGTAGTTATTAATTTTTTTTTTTTTTAGTTTAAGGGAAAAAATCAACATAAATAATGAGCCATGAAAAGATGGTGGAATAAATAAATGTGTGAAGCATTAACTTTCCGAGATAGATTGTTAAGAAAATTAAAATTCTAATGTTGAGAATAAATTGTAAGCTTTATAAAACAACTAAGCTAGCTAGGTTATTTAAAATGAGTGTAACCAAAAAACTGTTATGTGATTTGGAAAAACATGGAATGATTTATAAGACATTAAAAAAAAAAACTATGAGACAAGACCTTCTAAAGATATGTTAGTAAAAAAAATAAACTTGATAGTTTGGGTATTTAAGGGCAGATTTTACACCAATATTATAGGTAAATAATTTTAATATGAAGCAAAAAGACAAATCTAACAAGGATATAAGTTTTGCAAAAGAATTTCCAAAAAATAGACTAAACACTATATGTAGCACACACAAAAAATGAATAAAGAATAAGAATTTTAATCAATTAGAAAATATTAGGGCCTAAGTAGGCTTATGATGATAATGATGACAAAATATTTTATAAAAAGTATTAGCCATAAAGGTGCAACTATCTCATAAATAATCAATTTACAAACTTGTAGAACCTAAAATTAAAAAAGTGTTTGGCCCAATCAACATTTGAAATGAAGATATTTAACAATTATTATCACTAAAGTGTTAATGAACAACTTTTACCGCTGAAAGCCCCAAATAGAATATTTGTGATGTTAACCCTCTTGGGCTACAAAGTGTGCAATATGAAATGCAAGAAATCATAAAATACATATATGAGTAAGGACTTACTAACAATGATTATTATAGCACATGAGAAAGAGATCATAATTGGTGAAAATATCTTTTTAGGCAATTGGGCGAAGTTTAAATATTAGATTCATCAAACAGATGATGGGAGGCCATGATCTTAACGATTAAAAAGCCTATTTGGGACAGCTTTCTGGTTGTATTCCATTTCATACCGCCACCACAATTATGTTTGAGACTTGCTAGCTTGCTATTAACTAGAAATTTCTATGATGGAAATCTGCATTTTTCAATAAGATCTATCAAAATATGGTGGTTGTAAGAAAAACAAATTATCTGAATTTAAAAAAAAAAATTTATACTTCCCACTATAACTTTATAAAAAGCTAATTTCCCTATCACAGCTTTACAATCACCATACAGAAAGCTACAGTCGCCCCCATAGGACCCTAAGAATTTTCTAAGCCTGAGACAGCTATCGACGAAACATCCTAAGGCTCAGTTTTGAACTAACATGCAGATAATGAGTTGATGTAATATATCCGTCAAGCATCTGCTGTTATATTCACTGTACAGATTACGAAGAGGCCTTCAGTGTATTTGATCTATTTTCTTAGTGTATCTGATTTATTAAGAGCACAAGAAATGATCAAGTATGTAGCTCCTGCTCGTAAGGAAGGCTTAATAGATGTTTTCACTAAATCATATGGCCTGCACATTAAATTTCTTGCCCAAGTCATATACCAAAATAATAACAAAACATTTGAAAAATTACAAAATGGCATGTCGTCTATAGAGAACAGGAACATCATGAAAATCATCTGAACCAAGAAACAGAGAGCTAAATTTGTATGGTAATAATGAAGACAAGAATTATTACTCACCAGAGTTCGATTTACCAGTGATGCTATTGCAAGGGCAGTCCTTATTTGCTTAAGCTACAAAATAAAAAATAGAACTTCATGAAAATTGTTAAATATTTCGACAAAAAGCAGATGTAATGTGTACCTGGTAATTAACTAACGAGAAATGAGATTCAAGTGTATGTGCACCATCTAATAACAAAGCCTTCGGAATATTTGGTTTAAAAGACAAGAAACCGCCTGTAAAAAAGATAGAACTAATTTAATTTAAATTATAAACACATAAATTTACCAGAAAACCTTCAACAACCTCTTTCCCAAATTTGATATAGTCACCAGAAGCTAGCAGGCTATTTTGCCCCTTTAAAACTACTACAATACAGTCATAGAACTGCACCATCCTATTCCGTCTTAAAATTGAAATAGGCTGAACTTCTAAGTAAATGATTTGATTATCTCAGTCATACTTACGATTCAATCCATCATAAATGTTCATTTCAAATTTGAGCACAATTATGAACTGCTATTGCATAGGGAAATTCAGTAATTTGGCTTGATACGCCAAAATTGGCATTAGCAAAACTAGCTATTTCAATTAAATAAAACTTAAATAAGTAAATATTAACCAACTTCGGACAATGCACCTCGTAGTATGAAAGTCATAGAATAGCTAGAAGAACTAAATCGTTGTAACTTTTGCAGCAAAAGCTAGAATAAATGAATAACGTAAGGTGGTATCTTCCTTTAGTTTTGGCTTTCATAAATTTTATACGTTTTAATTTTATTTTTAATTGTACCAAAGCAATTATAATAATATACCATAGTATTTCCAAAATTCTACTTTTTCACTTTTATAATCTAGGACATTTAATATTTTTCCATATATCATGTAATACACTGCAAAAGGTTCTTTTCACCCTTCTTGTCAGTCCAATGAGTCAGTCTAACCTCCCAGCAGCACAAAATTTTGAACCACTAACAATTTAAATAAAGTTAAATAAAGCTAAATAAAGCCAATGCTTAAGAATAGCTTGGGTTGTTATGTAAATAGAAACAAAAATAGCCCCAGTTAATAAGTGACGTGACAAAAATTGAAAAAAAAAATGTACATGCTTTTCATTCTTTAACTATGATCAAACAATACAAGACTTAACCTTAGAGTACACGGTCAGTTCCAGCTACAATCTCTTCCTTCATAGTTGAATCAATTCAAATGACAACAATTTGCGATAGTAAAATCCAAAATATTTTCATAAAACACTAAACTTGGATCAAGTCACAATTCACATTGACCCATACCAAATGAGAAATTTGCCAGCCAGGATATTGAAAGCAATAAGTTTAAGAATCAAGAATTCTATTAGATTGACATGTTCTTAAGCATTGCCAGTACAAATATGCTAACCAAATCTTTCCACCATGAACCACTGAAATACCTGGGGAATCATAATAGCTTGGCTCATCATGGAAAAGCATGGCCTCACGTAATCTATGACGCTTTCCTTCAGTTCCAGCATACTGAAAAGTAGTATGCACTGCATAAGGCTCCAATCTGAGCTGCTGATACATCGACTGTGCATGTCAAAATAGAAAAAGAATAAATGCCAAATTTGTGGTTCAAAATAGCACTGACCAGAATGCAGTTAAGACGTAATGAAAGGGCATAAATATTATTTACTCTTTCAAAAAGAAACAGAATATCATTAAACATAAGAAAAAAATTCTTCAGAAGTAAGCTTGCTGCCAGAACAACTTACTTGGACAAAGTATGTATGCCCACTGCAAAAAATGCTTGCTGCCAAAATTGCTAATTTGAGACTTCCGTCATAGGCAAAAACAAGGCCATTTTCACCTTCAACAGATGGGCCCAAAACTCTGTGAACAAGATCATTAAATCCACTCTGGTCCCATAGCTTCTCATTGGCTATAAGAAGTTCTTTCCACTCTTTGGCTAGCTTTTTTGAAGAATCAGTTGGACGCCAGTGGAATATTCCAATATTGTAAGCACCACTGACTGGTGACATAAATTTAGTAGAAAGATGAAAAGAAAAAAAAAACTATTAAAAAGAGTTACCAGGTATCATCTACGAATATTTCTCAAGCATAACAAGTTATTATTAAGGCCTTGAGTTTAATAAAACAAAATACAAATGAAATAAGCAAGTTCGTTCAAATTGCAACGTCGCCTATTTCACAATGCTTAAATCATGCAGAAAGTTTTCACCCAGAATACCAAATACAAAATGAGCCCAAAAATAACTTAAACTTTATATGTTGTGTCAGTATATGATTTTTACCAATATATTATAATGTAATAAGCCCATGGTTGCCAATAATGAATAGTACACCATAGCACAGAGGTCGTCACATAACATATAGTAATGTACACGCTATTTTAAATTCAGCAAAATATTAAAATCATTAATAATTATTTAAATGGCATTTAAATACATAGAACATAATTCTTATGTATTTACATATCTCACACCTAAACTTTCATATTTACACATAGCACTCTAATTTTTAATATCATATAAAAATAGCACTATTACAAATTTTAAAAGTGAAATACACCTTCTCATGCATAGATTTAAAGAACCAAAGTCTATATATGTAAATATGGAAATTTAGGCATGAAATGTAAATACATAAGAATTGTATGCAACGTATGTAAATTTCTCTTTATTTAAATTTTAATAAAAAAAGAGAAAAATATCCTAATGCAAAGAGATACTACCAATGTCATATAAGCTTTAACCTATCAAAGGCATGCACCAATAGCCATGCAAATTTACTAGTATTATATAAACTTTACAGTGGTATCATAAGAATTTATGCATTGTACAGTCAACGTTAAGGCCAATGAGTTGTACTAATAAAGAGGTGAAGCGACAAAAAAGAGAAAATAGTTTTTATCAACTTGAAATAACAATGACTAAGGCCCCGTTTGTTTTGGCATTTTGAACCAAATTTTAACCAAAGCATGTTTTTAGCGCGTTTGGCTCATCCGCTTCCATCACATCGATCTGAAACACCATTTCGCGAATGAACAAGAGTCTGAACGCAGCTAGAAAGGTGCGCCCACGGTTGGCGAATAAAAATTCGCGTTATTACCCCTCACATTATCTTTCGCCCCCCTTCGCCCTCTCACGGTTGGCGAATAAAAATTCGTGTGGTAAACTTCTCCCCAAGTAATTTTTTTTCTTTTTCATTTCCTTTTGTCCCTGACGATGAGGCAAGACCAATTACCGTCTCCCTCTCCCCGATCGTGCCATGGCGAACCTTGGAATTATTATTATTATTTTTTCTTTTCCGAAAATTTGAAGAGCAAATCAAATCCTAAATATTTTATTATTGGCTTGCTTAAGTAGTTGTTTAATTTCTCTTTTTTTTTTTTTTTTTGATTTGCTTATGAACTTCCTGAGTTGAATCTCATGCAAATTTTTTTGTTATTTTATAATGTTTGAAAACTCATTGCACATACGGCGTCCTAAAAAGTATGTGCATATATGAAATAATGAAATCATTTGCCTTTGCTTACAAAGTTGTTTATTACTTCGGCTTACCTATGAAGTTGTTTATGAACTTGCTGAGTGGAACCTCATGCAATTTTATTGAGTTGCTTGTTTCTCCTTCACTTTCTCCTTCACACGAATGAATTTTTTTTTGTTATTCTGTGGTACCCGAAAACTTGCTGCACATGTTAATTCCTAAAGAATTTGTGCATATATGAAATAATGAGATCACTTGGCTTTACTTGTGAAGTTGTTTATTACCGGGGCTTGCTTATGATGTTGTTTATAAACTTGTTGAGTGGAACCTCATATAAATTTATTGATTTGTTTATTTCTCCTTTACATGAATGAAATTTTTTTTGGTCCCGATAACTTGCTGCACATATGAATTCCTAAATAAGCGCATATATGAAATAATGAGATCAGTTGGCTTTGTGCTAGAAAATTCATTGCATGTAAAATGATGATGTGAATGAGTAATGGTGTTGGACAATTTTTTACCCATGGAATTTTGTTGGATGAGGGCTTCAGTTTAGTATACTGTGAATTTTTTTTATAATGCTTCACTTTAGTATACTCTCACTTATGGATCAGAGATAATTATTTTTATAGACTTCAATTACTTTAGCTCATTTTGAAAGAATTGGAACTATTGATGCTTGCTTGGCAATAATACCTGGGATCCTTTATACGGAGTTATTGAATAATTTGCTTCCTTCACGAATTTTATTCTTAAAAAATTGAAATGAGAAATGTATCAGTTCAAGATTTTAGGATTCCGTTAGGACCTTTGGTAAGAAAATTATTTGGACGTATCCATATATTTATCTAGGCATGTCCATGTGAAAAAATATAAAATCAGACAGTATTGTTTCAATTTGACTGATACATATATGTTTTTCCACTTGAGAAGGGTAGAGGCATTCATATATGTTAAAACATATTGATGGTAGTTCTTTTGATTTAATGTTCAAGATCGATTGTTGAGAATGAACATATGAATCTGTAGGAGTTCAATGTATAAAATTTTACATAATTTTTTTATTATTGACACTTGTTCCTCTAGTTACATCCTTTATCTATAAATTTGTCATCCAATTTGTCCAACTTTTTGGATAATTGTGCAAATTGTATTATACTGCAGTGCTTGGACGCTTTTTTATTTGTCATGTAACATTTAAAAACATATATCAACCTGCTAGATACATTACCATATAGGCAACAAAAGAGACAACATAACCTTCGCTGTGGGAGAAAGAAGCAAAACTGATTTTTGGGACATATACTTAAAAGAGATCAAATTAAGAAATAGATCTACAACTCATTTTAAGAAAGAATGTTGCAAAAATATTACAATTTCAAAAAAAAAAAAATGCTGAAAGATTGTATGACAGAACTCAACTAAAGAACAAATGAGATCAGTTAATAGAAGATTGGAAAGTTTAAAAAGAGCTCAAAAGAGGTTGTACCAGACTTGGTTGGAATACGATTAAAAGCACCATTGATGCATCGACAAATTGGTGGAAGGAAAAATTAGAGGTGAAATGATTTTTAAATCGTTAATAATTCTATTTTATGTATACGTAGAAATTGAAAATATTAATTTTGTCTTCTGATTGTTCGAGATGACGGGTTGTGCCAAATGGTAAAAAATTTAGGTTTAATGGCATTGAACCGGAGCTAGAAGAGAAACTTGATATTATATTTAGTGGCGTTGTTGCAACGGGTGGTCATGCCTGAACTTCTCAAGAATTATAAGAACATAACGACATCTTAAATAAACCAATTCAAAGATCAGTCATGAGATTAATAAACACAGTGAATCCAGTCATGCCAGGATGCCACCCTAATTAAAAGCAAGGGCGGGACGAAATAAAAAGATTGGCCCTGCATTTCTATAGAGCCAAATATCAGAGTTGGTCACGAAATGTACTAATTTATCTTTCGAATTAATGCTACAAATCCTTCTTCATCTGTTCATGATGTGATGAAGATTTTAGAGTAAACTGCTGAATTTTACAAAAATATGTCATTATATCTACTCTCCATGAAACTGCTTGAAGGTTCCGTCAAGAGGGAGTTCTTCATATCTATGGCACCTGAGGGAGGGTTCATTACCTTCGCTCCTTCGCTGCTTCTACGAAAATCATGATAACTAATCTATATTATTTCTATGTTTTTCAAGCATAGCCTCCTTATTAGGTTTTGTTGTTGAAAAAAGAACTACTGGTGTACTTAATGTACTGTCTTGGGAATATTTTGTTGGTGTCTATGTTTTTTAGTTTATCTTAGAACAAGGTGATACTAATGGATTCAAAATGTGTCCAATAGAGGCAAAGAGGAACGCATCATACTACAATATAAAATACAAGATACTAAATGCCTATAGTTGACACTTGCAGTTATCAATAAGCAAGAAAGGCATATTTCAGCTTCAATATAGGAGCAATATGGTAATCCCAAAAATTAGGTAAAACCTATTTAAAATTGTGTTGGACACATGTATTACAAAAGCGGTGGAAGAATCTCCTACAACACAGTAAGTTTTGAAAAATATATAAAAACAAGTATTAATAATGGTTGTGATGCTTAACATAACATGAAGGAATGTACAATGCTGAAACATGCAGGACAAAAAGAAGTTAGGTTATTTAACAATAAATAGTCAAAATAATCATTGAAAGGAGTATAGAATCTTCATATGTGAGGCAACATTAACTGAGACATCAACAAAACAAGCATCTCAACAAAATGTATAGACATAAGAAATCACACCTTGTTGCCATACTTCTAGGCTGTCATCAGTAACTGTAGGTATAACTTGATCACTTGAAGTAAAGAGATCTGCTTCAGGGAAACGGGCAAGATATGGAAGTGGATTCTGCTCAAGGTTCATATGATCCAAGAGAAAACCAGCAGAATGTTGTAAGAAAAATACAGTATAATTCCAAGAAAGATTTATGCATAAAAATGATGCAGAACCTCTAGAAACGCACGAATTATAGAAAGTGATACTTTACGCCCCAAAGATAACATAAGCATTTTAATATGAAAGTATTGCACTTGAAAATTAAAAGATCTAAAATATCACATAAATTCAACAGATTTTACAATTTGAACTAACCGACCAATGTAAAACTACATAGTAAGCAACACTAGTAAGTGGTGGTGGTCCCTAGGATTCTTTATTTATAGTTAAGGATTTGGGGTCTCAAGCGCTATTGATAAAACTACATAGTAAGCAACACTTGTAAAAAAGACTAATAGTGTACAAGAAGTTGGTTACCATGATACAAGCTTGGATAAGATTGCTGACATATCCAAGAAATTGAACCTTCTCCTGACAATTCAAGGTGCATTTATGACTATAGTCAGTCTGTTTAGCTGACCTGGCTTATGAAGACTAATTTAGATGACGATGAAGTTGTACCAGAGCCATAATGGATACTTCTTTTAGATGGGCATGTAAGCCCGCTTCTTTACACGTGGGTAGACTCCTTGTGCCTGGCTAGGCAAGATGCCTCCACCAGATTTGACAAATGAGTTTATACTATGTTTGATTGAGTGATGTGATGTCGAGCCAAGCCTAGCAAGCTCACCCTCATTGTCACTAAAGCGAATCTATCTCAAAGGTGCATATCTAGCTTTCCAATGGTCTTGCCACTTCAGAAGGCGTAACTACAAAAAAATGAGAAATCAATTGCTACGTTTGAGTGGAGTCCATAATTAATCAATCATCATGCTTGAGTTCGAGCCTTTGATCTCTACTCGACTTTGTAATTATTCTAAGAAGACTCGTTAGTGTTATTTTTTGAATACATTGCTTGAGAGAATAAAAAAACATATTTTAAAAAAAATAATGTACTTACTTGCTAATGGATATTGACGCATTTGTTGTTTAGTCCATGTCAACTCCAATTTCTCAACTCTTTGTGGGATGCAGCTTTCATATTGTAAGTTCCTTCTTTCATTGTCGGCTATATTTTATGGTCTACAGTCAATGATGTCATCATGATATGATGTTAGAAAGTTTGAAGTCAATATTTGAGAAGAGGTGAAAGAAAAGGAGATTTGTTTCTAGCACTATATGATGAAGAAAGTGACTCTGACAGCCCTAACGGATGAGCTAACCCCAAAAATGATGTCATCTAGGGAGTCCACACATCTGCACACGTTGCTATCTGCCCAAAAGAAAAATGGAATGGAATCTTGGTTAGTGAGTCCGATAAAATTTGCATATCGGTGTGTTCATTTATTTCTAACATTGTATTTCATCCTTGATCCAGTGAGGCTCCTTCCTGATGTAGTGGTGACTTCCACGGGTGGCAAGGATGCAAGTTCGCCAAGGCTGACCCAACATGTTGAGGATGTTGTTGAATTATTCTTATGCCTATTACACATAGATGTCGCGGTGAAGAGTGTTCGACCTCAGAATATCGAGAGGTGCCTTCTAAGGACTCGATTAGCATTATTTAATTGACAATGAGGATAAAAAAGATCTAGGCACATATGACCAACTCGATAAAGTGGAGACTCACTCAGCAAGATCAGCTACAATGTACTAGGAGTGAGCTGTCAAAGTAAGCTTATAGAGTTGCGAGGTACAAGAGAGGTTGGCATCATTGGCATAGTGACTTGATTCATCATGTGAAGTAGTTGGTCATCGGGCAAGGAACTCCATTATTAACAGTTGAAGTCATTCTAGTTCGTCAAACTTTGGAGTCCCTAAAGTCTAAACAATTTTTAGCGGGTTATGAGTTCATTCTCCATCACTTGATGAGGTTTGGATGTCTACCCGAGGAAGTATTGGTTGAACTTATTGCTCCTTTATTTAGTATTGTTGTAAGGAGCGACTTTGGTGAAGGATTCATTTAGCTCTAAATTTGTTCATTATCAGTATTAAATGCTTTTGTTATAACATAGTTGTTATGTTTGCATGCTAAAGTGAAATGTTTTTGTTGTGTATGTCATTATCACTAATATGATGTTTGTTTGTTTCCAGTGAGAACATTTATTATAGATTAGAGATTAATTTTGAACTAACGAGAAGTAAAGAGACGAGTTATTACATGTATGCATAATCGCTTCGTGTAATGAGTCAATGAAGTAGACCTATGTGGGTGCGGGGGAAGTGGTGGTTATATCACGCATGGATACAAAGAATTGTTGCAAGGAATGCCAACTTTTGTTGGATTTATTCATTGAGATGTCGGAACCGTTTTGAACAATACACTGCAATCATGATGTTCCTTGAGCAGTAAATGTTGTAGTTTCATATTTAAGTGAAAAATTATCCCATTATTAGACAGGACACCAATAGTAGAAGTCGGCATAATAAGTATCATATTCTCCTCACCATAGTTATTTTTTTCTTGTTCAGTTCTCTCTTTAGAATTTTGAGAGCTTCTCCCCCTAGATCCTTTCTTGTGTGTTCCTCGCCCAAGTAACCGAGACGCCTAGAGCTTCGAAGAAGAGTGGTAGCTAGTTTGACGAGTTCACCTTCAAGCTATCACAAGTATCATGAAGATAAAAGAAAATATGTCATAGACGTCATTTATGAAAAAACACACTTAGTGAGGGTGCCTAAAAGGGTTAGTCCACAATTCATGCTTCAATGATAAAATCTATGCTTTCAAAAATCAGTTCAAACTCAACTCGAGGTTACTACTGTGCCCAGCATTTGTGGATTTTCTAAGATGTTATGGGATGATGTTGCCTCATATTCTATCGAATTTGATGTCGAGTATTATGACTTTGATTCACCACTTGAGAGAGGTAAAACTTTAAGTGGAATCGAAAACTATTATACCACCTCTTCACTGTGAAGTCATTTGAAGATGATATTGTATCATTATTGTCAACCAATATCCAAATGAAGGATTGGAAAATAAAATAAAGAATTGAAAAGAGAGATGCTACTTTGCTAATTCTTGTCTTATTCACCAATTCACACTAGACAAGTCAACCATCAATGCCCATCCTTGGCGGCCCTGAGGTGGCCACTAAGGCTTTGTTTGAGAGGGCTTCTTCTTTTATAAAAGCTTCTTTAAAAGTAACTTAATAATAAATGATAGTATAAAGCTTTGGTCCTTAAAATGATCCTATTATTTGGATAAAAATTTTTCTGTGCTTTTTAACGAAAAATATTAATAGCTATTGGCGCATCCAATAGACATATTATTTCAGAATTTAAGAGAAATTAGTTTTTAAAAATTTAACTATTCATAATAATTTTAAAAATATTACGATGTGATGTCACAAAATTATTTCTATATTTTTTTAATCTCTAATTATGTGGTGGAGCCCTTTGCCCGCCGTATAATTATTTCTTCCTCAAAATTTTTTTTTACATTCATTAACTTCATCTCCACTGCCTTTCTTCTTCAATGAAAACTCCCCATGCAGAGCACTCGTACGGATTGCTTTTATCCCATCGAGGGTAAAATGATCAATTCATTCTATTACGACAAGCCAGTAAGGTATATTATATTAAATATCATATTATAATAAAGGAAAAAATATATTAGCTAGTATTCATCAAGACTAAGTCCAAAATGACATTGAGATTAAAAAGATTAATAACCTGCTCATCGAGACAATCAAATGTCAACTTTTAGTATTCCAAGTCCGATCACTACAGAAATCGAGGTGAGAGACCTGAACCTTAGGGAAGGCTAATTCTTAAGAACTCTTTTGAATGAAGCCTCCTTTCAACCAATCCCTCAAGTAGCCTCGGCTCAGAGAGACTCTTCTATAAATTCAATGTAATTGGTTTCGATAAGAGATGATGGTGTTCTTACCCAAAAGTTTATTCTCTTTGCCACCAAGTTAGTTGACTCCTTTGAATTTTACTTTGTGGTGCCACTCTCAATACTTGGTCTAAGGCTCCCAAGATTAATCTTCCCAATCTATTAATCTTTCTTCCAATCTTGCTTCCATTTCAATCAACAATTCAATAGTTACAATGGGTTGTTCATCCTTATTAACAGGGTCTTCTCTTAGGACTCCTCATTTGGTTTGAGCTCTATTAAGGGTCTGTTTAGGGGCACTTATTTGGTGCGGCGACAGTTTGAAAACGCTAGAATATCGTTTGTTTCGTGTGTTTGATCGGCGACTTGAAAATGCTGAAATATGTTTTATCAAGAAAGCGGGACGCGGGATCGATCCCGTGTCCAGCTTCGAAGAGGTGCGTTTGATCGATCCCGCTTCCCGCTTCGAAGAGGTAAATTCGATCTTCTATTACCTCTTATGCCCTTCTCCCTCGTGCGATCGTGCTTGCCCTAGCTTGGTTCTCCCTCGCCCCTCTCTGCCTCTTCTCCCTCGAAGCTTGCTCTCGTTCATCTAGTAGCTCGCAATGTTACTCCTATCTATAATTTTCATGGTCTTTCCTTTTGTTGCACTTGTTTGTCCTCTGCAGCTTCTGATCCCATGGTATTCTTTGGAATGTTTGTGGTTTTCTTTGGAATTTTTGTGGTGATACCAAACATTTGTTTGGAAGATCGAGATGTTACTCCTATATTTATAATTTCTGTGGTTTTTTCTTTCGAATCATCCATTTAAACTCTGTGGTTGTCGACCCCATCTTTTTGGATGGAAATTTTGGTTATGGGATTTTGGAAAATTCATTTTCAGTGGCTTGGGTGTGCTCTTCTGGCTTTGGGTGTGCGGTGGCTATGTGAGGTGTTAATCCTGGTCTTGGGTGTGGATGTGAGGTGTGCTTGTGTGTTCACTGGTTTTGGAAATTTTGGTTTCATGGTGGATGTGAGGTTGCTTGTGTGTGGTGGCTATAAGTGGTGTTAATTGTGGTCTTGGTTGTGCCCTCCTGGCTTTGGGTGTATCGGTTTGGTGGTGGATGTGAGGTGTATTTTTTTGTGGGGGCTA